CATTGGCTCTCCACAGGGTTGTGTGCTGAGCCCCCTTTTGTATTCACACTACACCTACGACTGCACTCCCTCTTGTCCCACTAACACTATTTTCTAGGAACTCATATTTCTGACAACCTTACTTGGTCAGTCCACACTATGGCCACTGCAAAGAAGGCCCAACAGCTCCTGCACTTTCTGAGGCTGCTGAAAAAGAGTGGCCTGGGTGAGAAGTTGCTGGTTACTTTTTACCGTTCTACCATCGAGAGCATTTTGGCATACTGTGTAACGTTGTGTTATGCTGGATGCTCTGTACTGGATAAGAAGATGCTCCAGAGAGTTATAAACACAGCACAAAAAATCATTGGTTGCTCTTTCTTCTTTGGAAGAGATTGCAAAGACCAAACTCCTCTCTAGAGCACTAAAAATCTCCACAGACCGTTCTCATCCTGGACATTCATATTTTGAACTGTTACCATCAGGGAGGCATTATAGGTGTCTTAAAATGAGGACTAATAGACTGAGAAACAATGTCAGCCTTCAAGATCTTCTACTTCTGCTTTGCATCTTTTGGCTGCCATAAGTAACGGGGGGAGGCGGGGGGACAAGTATGGGAAGCGAGCAGGAGGTGGCAAAACTTAGCATTGTATAAACTGAGGAGGGGGGAGAGTGCATTCTGCTTAGGTTTCTATTTCTTGCTTAGCTTTCTTTCCTCTGCGCAGCTGCAAACCTTTATCAAAGTATGCCAAGGTCAACGGACAGAAACTTCATCACCACCTGAAGATGTCCACATGATGATATTCACAACTTTTAATTGGAAGAACCATTTGAACTATTGGGGGTGGGGACAATTCCATCACTTTGTATATGTGATTTATGTGCCTAATTCCTCAGATTCAGAATTCTACTGTAGCTACCACTTCATTTCCAGTAAAAGATATCTTTTCTCTAACTAAAAGAGTCTAAGTATTTCTTTCTTGGATGTTGAATAGAGCACAGCCTGACATTATTCTGAATCTCACTCTACCAGCCCACCTGGAGAAATAATCCAATTTCTTCCGAGGGGGTCTGAACATCATGTCATCTCCAACTAGTGACCAAGAAGACCTGGGCGCCATTGGAGGGCAAGAGTCTTTGCTGCTGGAGGAGGCACAGGAAGCTGAATTACTAGCAGAGCTCAACCTGGAAGAGAGCCCAGCTGTGAAGCCCAAGTGGTCATTGGGAGTCAGCTGGAAGGATCCGGAGGAGGCCTCCCCCCCAGGAGTCACCACCACCTGCCGGCGTGGAAGAGAGGAGCCATGGCAAGAGAGGGAAAGGAGAGACTTTTTACTGAACCAAGCCAGGTACCTCCTCAATGAGGCTTTTGGAGTACCTCACTCTGCACAAAGGTATGAGGGAGAGGGAGAGGGGGAGGCAGCCCCAGCCAAAAGAAGCCGAGAGCCACCCCCATAAATCAACCTGGGCCAGTGCGACAGCCAGCAGCAGCCCCGAGGGCCCAGTGGGAGGTGTAATTCCTAGAAGGCGTAGAGCTCCCAAGTTGCCTCCGCTGGAAGTAAAATATGTGGGAGATCCCAAAGAGTTGGGGTTTTTCCTAGCCCAAGTTTGGAGCTATATGGAAGAATATGGAAGGGATTTTTCCTCAGAAGCAGCCAAAGTGAGATGTGTTACCAGGGCTCTGGAGGGGACAGTGGTAAAACTTAGCATTGTATAAACTGAGGAGGGGGGAGAGTGCATTCTGCTTAGGTTTCTATTTCTTGCTTAGCTTTCTTTCCTCTGCGCAGCTGCAAACCTTTATCAAAGTATGCCAAGGTCAACGGACAGAAACTTCATCACCACCTGAAGATGTCCACATGATATTCACAACTTTTAATTGGAAGAACCATTTGAACTATTGGGGGTGGGAACAATTCCATCACTTTGTATATGTGATTTACACACCTAATTCCTCAGATTCAGAATTCTACTGTAGCTACCACTTCATTTCCAGTAAAAGGTATCTTTTCTCTAACTAAGAGTCTTAAGTATTTCTTTCTTGGATGTTGAATGGAGCACAGCCTGACAAACAGTTTCTTTTCCAAGGCAATAATTGTCTTGAATCAAACAATGCATATGTGATTTAGCCCTATGTACATAAGTGGCATTTTTAAACTATCTAACTTATTATATATTTTAGATAGGTTTTAGACAAGGTTTTTAATTATTATTTTAATTTTTAAATACTCTGTAGTGTGATCGTGATGTGGTGTTTGGGACACTGTGCTGGAGTAGCTTTCAAATTTCATTGTATTTGTAGAATGCAATGACAATAAAGGTATTCTATTTTATTTCTACTTTTTGTTTTATCAGTCTTGTTAGTATTTGTTTTCTTTTGGTGGGTGAATTCAATCCATTAATATTTAACAATATTAACCTAATTTCTACTTCCATCGTCCTTACAACTTGGTATCTGTCTTCTATTAATTTTTATGCCCCTTTGTGGGCATGTTCTTAATCTTCCTTCTTTCTCCCCTTGTTTGGTTTCTTCTTTACTTCCTCCTCCTTGTTCTGTTTCTCCTAATTCCTGTTGCTGATTTTCTTGGCTTCTGGTTTCCAGTTCTTCCTTGCTACTACTTTCTTGTTCCACTCCCACAATTTGGTCATACAAATCCTGTGCCTTATCCAGATTGTCTATCCTAATCCTCTTCTCCTGCCACTGTACCAACATCTCCTCTGGAGTTAGCCACCAAAACATTATATTTCTCTTAATCAGTTGTGTTGCAAGGAATTTACAGTTTCTTCTCTGTTCTCTTACTTTATTTGGGATCTGTTTTAAGGTTTGTATCTCTTTGTCTTTATATATCAGAAGTTCATCTCTCATTATCTTAATATATTATGTCCCTTACTTTTTGTCTAGCAAATCTAATGTGGTAGTCTATTATGTCTTGCGTAACTGGTATGAATTCTGTAGACTTCATCAATTTCTAGCAGGCTCTCTTGTCTGTCTCTCTGTAGTGTTTGTGCAATTAGCTCTGCCATAATGATACCCAGGTCTTCCTCTTTGCTTTCCATAACGTTCTGGAACCTCAAGTAGAATGCTGCATGAGCCATCTCCAAATGAATAATTTGTTCCTCTAATTCCTTGTTCATTGTCAACATTTTTTTGTCCACTAATTCCAATTTCTTCTCATTTTGTTCTGATCTAATATCTACCACCTGTATTGTTCATTCTTCTCAATGGCTTGTTGTATCGTATCTACTTTGGCTTCTAATTTATTAATGTCCCCTTTCATTTTCCACATGGTTCTTTGACATGTTTTCTTGCATCTTCATCATGGTTTCTTGAATCGCCAACAGCACTGTCTAATATACAGACGTATATACAGACATGTATATTAGATGTTGCACTTTGTTTTTCCGCACCCAACATTCCCTCAATTGTCTTTTGGCCAGCTGGTGATGAAACTGTCAATGATGGATTAGATGTTATCTTCTTTGTTGTTATGGCACTTGCCGTATTTCTAAGGCTTCTGTTTATTTCTGCCCACAGTACCATCTACTTTATATTTTATTTAAGAGTTAGCTTATATCAGTCTCTTTTCCCTACTGATTTCTCTACTTTTTATTTTAATTGTCTCCTTCTGTCTAGCAAATTAACCCAACCTCTTAGGTTCTCCTTATTATTTAACTACTTAAATCTTTCAGTTTCACTATATCTCTACAGATCACAAAGCATACAAATACCACACATATTTACTTCTCACTCCAACTTCCTCATAAAGCTCTTATCTTATATATATTACTTAATTCCTTTTAGTCTATATACTAAGAGTTATTTAATTCTATTGAATAATAATTATCTTAAGTAATAATTCATTAATAGTTCAGTAAATAAATAATTCAACAGTAATTTGTCTATTACAATCTTTTCAATCTAGTAATCTAATTAATCAATATCTCTATTAGAAAGAATACAATTATAAAGTAAATATATACAAATTTGAAAATAGTATAGATATTTCAATATAAATATATAATTGTATCTATAACTGTATATGAGTAATATATAACTTTTTTTAATTACAATAAGCAGACAGAATATGAATATCTATGTTTTTTCCAAAGTCTCTTGACTTCTCTTAATTTAAGCTTAATAGGTAGTCCAATGGTCTTACTTAGTCATTCACTGTTGGCAACGTCAAACATGTCCTTCAATATAGTTCTGCTATGTGTTCCTCCCTCCTCCTCCTCCAAATCTCAGCTTTACTTTCCACTTTCCTTCTGCTACTTTCTATTCTTCTAACTCTTCTCGCTTTCAAACTGGATCCCCAATTCCTTCTTCCAATCTCCTTCTATCTTATGGAATGTTTTGCCTCCTGAAGTTGTGGGTGCTCCTTTATTGAAGGTTTTTACACTTTTTTGTTTGGAATGGTATAGAGTCTCCTTTTGAGTAGGGCGTTGGACCATTCTATTTCTGTTAAAATTTTCCCCTGAATAGCAGTATACTCCTTCCCTTATTGTTTAAGCTTCAGAAGTGTGAAGGACAAAATGTATATTTCTATAACATATAAGTGAAAGTAAAGAAAAATAAAGTGGGGGAAGGAAAAAAGGGCATAAAGGGGAAAAAAGAAGAAAAAAGCTTCCAACTCTTCAGGGCAGTAGAATAAAGGGAATAAAGTTACAACCTCAACTTTTTGGTTTTGCATACTTAATATATACTAGCCATTTTTATAGCAACAAATAAATCTAATCAGCAAATCCTAAAATCAGAATTTCATTTTTTTCTGTCTAGACTAGAGCACAAATGAAAATTTTAGAATTTCAAATAACTCAGGAGACACGTAGGGTAGAACATAAGGACTATTCAAAGCTAAGAAAAAAATGAAGCATTTAATATAACATAGTAGACACAACAGTGGGTCATCCTAGCAAATGATGTGACAGATTGTCTGAAAAAATAAAAGGGACAAACTTACATTGTATGTGCTTGTTATTTCTTTTCTGAAAAAGATATGATTCCTCTTCTACAATGGATAATCACTTACCACAATTCCAAATTGCTCAGACTCAGCTAGTTCATTATATTCTTCTTTCAGTCCTGCAATCATCTTCAATTTGTCTGCTTCAGGCATTAACTTAATCAGATTCTGAGAAAGAAGTTAAAAAGATACAGTTGCTTGGAATAGCTTCTAATAAATATGATAATATTGACCTAGAAATAAATAGTCTAAGGATGTGTCTTTCAAACTATGGAACTCTTTTGACATAATTTGATATGCCTCTAAATAGCAAATATTCAAATACAAGGAATTAAATGACAGCATAAAATATTCTGATTATTATATACCCAAATCGGAACAATGTATAACCTATGAAACAGAAACCTTGGGGCTGCCAGTTCTTGACAATCTCTCTCTGTTCTTACAATCCTGGATAGCAAAATAAATGCTTTTTAGTTTCCAGAACTACTGGAGATTGAGTTCAACTTAATGGATACTAGCTGTGCAGACTTGCACTCTAAAGAGAAAATATGATCACACACTCTAGTCTTTCTCACCTGTACCATGGATTCAGTCAACACAGCTTCATTTACTTCCAAGATGGCATTCTTGATTTCCTCATAAGGCAAGCGAAAGGAGCCCAAAAAAATTGCTGCCACATTTAAAGAGAAGCACAATTAACCAAATTATTGGCATATCCAAATATTAAAATCAGAGAAATTTACCTTTCCTGACTTTTCCTTCCTGCCTTCCAATAATTTCTGAAAGTTTTCACAGGTAACTTAGGCAAACTTTCCCAGCAGAATTACAGAATAACAGTGGATGGGTTCTTGGAGGTCTTCTAATCCAACCCGTTTGAGCAGAAGAACCTATACCAATCCAGACAACTGACTATCCAGTCTCTTCTTAAAACCTCCAGTTTAATGGAGCACTTACAACTTCTGGAAGCAAGCTGTTCCACTGATTAATTGTTTTCATTGATAGAAATTTCTCCGTAATCATATCAAATCATACTCACAAAGATTCTGAGCATTTTTTGAATCTAGCACTCTCAGCTCCTTGACTTTCTTCTTAGCTTGGTTCTTTTCCTCTCCACTCTCAGGTTGCTTTTTTGCTGTGAAGAATTAAAGATCTTAGTGATCCAGATAATTTCAACAGAACTGTCCATAATTACCAAGCCCTCACAGAAATTCAGATTATCCCTTAATCACTGAAAGGATTTTAAGAAGGATAAAGAGATACAGTATGCCTGCTATAATATCCAATATCAGGAAGTATCTTTCAAACTTCCCCTCACAAAACAAAACAACACTGTAATTCCTCCATTTATTATTCCAAAGCAGTAACTGATCCATTTATATGCTCATACTTAAAGGACTATGCTACGAACCTTTCACAAAGAGATAAGAAAATATGGATAAGTTTTAGATAAGAGATTTAGATAGGATATAAGTCTTATAGAAAAAAGGAGGCACTGTAATGTTAGAAAATAGGATCTTGCCTTAAGGTACAAAATGGAAGATATATCAACTAGAGGCATTAGAATCACAAGTAATTTCCAAGATGACCTGCAATAGTGGTACGAAGCCAGGAATATAAAAAGTGAAATGTCCCTGTGGATAAAAATATTCCCTTCATGGAGAAAACTACAGAGGAGGGAACCATTCCATTGTGAATAGTATAATTTTCTATGCACAGCAAATATGTGATAAAACTTATTGATATCTGAGTTCGGACCTGTCCTGAGATAGGCAAATGATAGGCAACAGATTCACCAGTTCATTAAGAATGACACTAGTGGTGACCATAGTTATTAGAAATTGCCTTGTCACACTCTGAAGAGCAATACATATATTATCACACAAACTTTTATGAATCACAATCTACCACAGAGGTACCAAACTCAAGGCAACAGGGTGTTTAGATCTGGCCCATGGGGCCAGCCTGGAAACAGCAAAGGACTGGCCTGCAGTGCCTCTGCTAGCGAAAACGGAGCTCAAGGGGACGCACCCGCCTCCCCCGAGCTCCATTTTCTCTGGCAGAGAGTTGCAGGAAGTCGTCCAGGCCAAAAATGGGGTGCGGGGTTTTTTGCTGGCAAAGAGCTATCAAAAAAAGGATAAACGTTTTCCCTTTTGCATTTGAGCAGGCAAGACAGGACAGGAAAGGAGAAAGGGAAAAGGGAAAGGCAAAGACAAAGAAGGGAAGATGGAAAGAAATCAAGGAAGGAAAAATAAGGAAAGGAGAAGGAAGGAAGGAAGGAAGGGAGGGAGGGAGGGAGGAAGAGAAGGAAGGAAGGAGAGAAGGAAGATTATGAGAATGAGGGAGGGTTTCAAGGAGGTCCTGCCTTAACACTCGGTTACCACAGGTGCCACCAATAGTAGTCACATGTCACACCCACACCCACCATGGCCACGCCCCCAGCCACACCCCACACCCCCTCAGTTCTGAGGTCAAACACAACCCTGATGCGGCCCTCAATGAAATAGAGTTTGACACCCCTGATCTACCACTTCAAGTGCGTAGAATATAATCCTATTAAATATATTATCACAGCTGTTTGTTGGGAAAAGGAAGGAAAAAGAAGAATGATAATAGAAAAATAATTGCTTTATAGGTGACAAATCCTATATTAGCAGGTAGATGTGAATATGTAGTCTTTATTGTATTAACAAGAAAAGGAAGTGACCGATTTCTGTAACTAGGAATTCATGCATTCATTAAATGTAGCACAATTTCTCATGGATTAAATAAGGATTATTTTTTCTCATGTTACCTATACTAACCAGCTAATATAATAATGCCTGTGTCACACCTAAGTTGCTGCTTTATGTCCAGTCATTTCCAAAGAAACAATTATGTTCTGCCTTCTATTTCCCCCTCTCCAAAAGATAGGGTTACTCCTTTGAAATCAGTTAATGAAGGCAAGAGGAAAACAACATGGCTCATTAACAGATTTTTAAAAAATCTAAGTTAGAGAGAGACTGAAATAGACTTGAGTAAGCAGATTCAGCTCTTCTGAAAATAATGCCGGAGGTCCATGTCACAGTAAGTTCCTGAAGTTAAATTCAATAATGAAGAAGCAATAGTTTGAGAACGCTCTGGGTTTTTGGCTATCACTATAAGCTGATCACTCTCAAATATTGCAGTAGTGAATTTTGACTCAGTGTTACCCACCAATTCCAGAAGGCATCCCAACTCATGGATCCGTTCCATTCATAACTGAAGAAATCCATAATGCTGTGGACAGAATTAAGAACCTGAAGGTCCCTGGACCTGACAATCTGCCTGCGGACTTCTGGAAACTAAAAGAAGTGTGAGACACAGGAATAATCTGGCTGAGTTCTTCAATGTAAAGAACACTGGCTCTGTACCAACTGATTGGTCAATAAGCATTAACAGTTCTCATTTTCAAGAACAAGGGTGACCCAACTGACTGTGCCCAATCCACCTTCTGTCTCATACTATAAAGATCTTTGAGAGAATCTTTGATCAATGCATTCGCAGCATCACTCAATGCATCATCAACCGATGTGGCTTCGATAAAGGATGTGGAACAACTGATGCAATCTTTGCAGCCCGTCAGCTCATAGAGAAACACCATGAGAAGAGACAACCACTACATATGGCATTCCTAGACCTGGAGAAGGCATTTGATCATGTTCCGCACCAAATGATCTGGTATGCCCTCCGGGATCACAGAGTACCTGAAACACTCATTGACTGGGTCAAATGCTATATAAGAACACCAGCAGCCAAGTGAGATGCCCAGCTAGTCTCTCCAACAGATTCCTGGTGACGGATGCATCAAGGCTCTGCACTACCACCACTTCTGTTTATATCAGTCATGGATACCCTCACGCATGACCTACAGCAGCTCACCCCGTCATCACCTATGCTGATGATGTTATGCTTGCTTCCACCACAAGAGGAGACAGCAACAAGTTCAAACATGGAATGTTCGCCTCAACCATTTCGGACTTCACTCAACATCAAGAAAACTGAGTACTTAAAGACTGTTACTACCCCTGGAATGCTTCAAATCAATGGAGAAAACCTAAAGAAGGTGGATACTTTTTTGGTATCTGGAATCCCATCTCCAAGGCAATGGCAATATCAGTGGTGAGGTGCAAGCAAGGGTGAATGCAGCCTGGATGCATTGGTGAGAACTCACTGGTGCGTTATGTGACAGACAAATGCCAACCAATCTTAAATCTAAGATTTACAAGACAACCATCCTCCCTGTTGCACTGTATGGCACTGAAGGCTGGGCAGAAAAAAGGGACTGAAAGCTATCTCTATGCTATGGAAATGTGAATGCTCCATTGGATATCAGGCATCTCCATTCTTGATCACATCACAAATGACCCCATTCAACAGCATTTTGTGTAGTACTATTTACAGAGAAGATGAGAGAAGTCTAACTCTGCTGGTATGGACATGTCCAGAGAGCAGCACCTTCCACCGTTGCCAAGACTGTTTACAAATTAAAAGTTAATGGCCGCTGATCCTGCAGGCGTCCAAAACAGAGATTGCAAAACACCATCAACAAAGATATACAAGCTGCGGGCCTGTGCCCTGAAGATGCAGCTGATCATGCAAAAATCTGAAAAGGGGAGCCTGTACCTGCGGGAATACGCTAGAAAGACAAGTTGATTAAGAAGAGATTAAGAGCCTCTATACCCTCCACCTCAGGGATGTCAAACTCAAGGCATGCAGGCCGGATTTGTGGGGTGCTTACAAGCACCCTGTGTGAGGTGCTTACATTTGGCCCATGGGGCTACCCTGGAAACAGTGAAGGACCGGCCCATGGTATCTCTGCCAGCAAAAATGGAGCTCGGGAGGCTGCTGGCAGAGGATAGCAGGAGGCCATCACAGCTGAAAACAGAGCGCGGGAGGCCACTGGGTGAGTGTTTGGGTCCCCACAGGCACCCCCGACATGAGTGACATCCAGCTGGCCATGCCTCCCTGAGGTCAAACACAACCCTGATGCAGCCCTCAATGAAATCAAGTTTAACACCCCTGCTCTACCTGATAGCAAAACCTGAACTATGAATCAGTGTCATGAAGAGGGGAGCTCAGATTACATATCAAAACTAAATAAAACTATGTATTAATATATCATCATATTCATGGAAAACCATATTTTACTTTCAAAAACTTATCAATAATCTGTTTCTGACAATTACTACTGTCTATTTGTTGCTTCCTTATACTATCCCCACTATGATTCATACTTTTCCCGATTAGCTAAATACAGGTGAAACTCGAAAAATTAGAATATCGTGCAAAAGTTCATTTATTTCAGTAATGCAACTTAAAAGGTGAACCTAATATATGAGATAGACTCATTATATCCAAAGCAAGATAGTTCAAGCCGTGATGTGTCATAATTGAGATGATTATGGCTTATAGCTCAGAAAATTAGAATATTGTGAACAGGTTCAATATTCTAGGCTCAAAGTGTCTCACTCTAATCAGCTAATTAAGCCATAACATCTGCAAAGGGTTCCTGGTCTCTCAGTCCGGTTCAGTAGGAATCACAATCATGGGAAAGACTGCTGACCAGACAGTTGTGCAAAAAACCATCATTGACACCCTCCATAAGGAGGGAAAGCCTCAAAAGGTAATTGCAGGAGTTCCGGTTTGCAGGGCTTCGGTGGCAGGCAGGAATCCGCGATCGTGCGCGGTTTCTGCCTGGGCTCACCGCTGGAGTGCCCCGAGCCAGCTGGCTTCGGGGCTAAGCCACCCCGTAGAGGTGGTGAAGACAGGGGAGACCCAGCAGGTTTGAGGGGAGCCACACCTCTCCTCCTCAGCTGGCTAAACTCCCTTTTCCGAAGGCGGTAAGAGCAGTGGTCAGAAATGGCTGTCTCAAAGAAGCGCTCAGCCGGAAAAGAAAGTGCAGGAGGAAGTTAAGAAGTGAAAGTTTTGGTTGACCGGGATAAGAAGCAACACCTAAGGTATCCTGGAATTTAAATTTCAAAAAAGATACATCGCTCCCAAAGAAGATTCAGAAGCAGCGAATGAAAGTGAAAAGGGAAAGTTTTTTTTTTCCACTCTCCTTCCTTACATTGACAGCAGATGAATGAGAAATCGGAAAAACCCGCTTTGGCACCA